TGACCTTTAAATTGTGTAAAACAACAAAAACTATTAAATTAAGCTTAACTTTTAAACTGAAAAGAATGCAACATTTTAATCAAGATGAACAGCCTAATCTCCTACCGTTACATTTTTTCTTCAGAAAAGTGTAGTTTTCTTCGGAAAATGCCTGTACCATGTCAGGAATATGACAGTTGTGTTTTTACTTGTTCCGTTCGTTGTTAACGTTTGATTATGTCAGTTTTCACGGACTTTCCCCTTTTTGAATTACCTTTGAGTTCGGTATTTTTGTTAGTCTGTTTTCAGAACCTACACTAAAAACCTTCGTAGTCGGAGGTCGTGCGGAGGCCCAATGTTTGCCATTATCTATGCCTCTGTCTTCAGTTGTCAATTATCAAAAATGATTGACCTATTGCTGACAAAATGGCCCTTTAAATTGTGGATAAAATAATCCTTAAAATTGTGAACAAATTGGTCTTTTAAATTGTGGACAAAATGGTCCTAAAAATCGTTGACAAAATAGTCTTTTAAATTGTGGATAAAATGGTCCTTTAATTTTTTGCTGATACCATCAATTGTAGAGCATACATTTAATCTTCTTAAATAATGAAAAACGATTGCTAAAGAAAACGTGTATATTGTCCCTCTCCCCCAGGCACCCCCACCCCGCGAAGAAATGTCGAGGAAATATTGTTTTACCCGTCCGACATCGAGTACATGGTTTATTCGCCTAAAACTGCTACAGTGTTCAAGCTACATCTTTTACATTATATAAGGGGTTATACCATAACTTTACTTAAGGTGTGCAAATAATCAGGATTTTGATTTTTTTTAAAATTTCCACAATGACAAGCTGTTAAACTTTGTCATATTTTTGATCGAATTGGGCATGCCGGGTACATGGTTTGTCCGGCTTACTCCTCCTATACAGTTTTCATGATAGAACGTTTATGTCATGCAGGGTGTTAGTACTAAAGTAAAAGTGTGAATAATACCAGGAATTTGATTTCCTGTACAAATTTCACTAATCACAGAACATTGAACTTGTTGGCGGTGTATCAAATGTGTCTCTCAGACACAACTATTTCAAATTGTATTTAACATCATTGTTTACTATAATCGAATTTTGAGGTTGATGTCCCCTTCTGTAGGCCTGTGTATTACGAAAAAGTGCAATAATATCTAACAGCAAATATTTTGAATTAAAGAGACATGCCATTTTGTACATATACCAAAGGGAAACGTCGTTCACATCAATTCCATTGCATTTAATAGAAAATTGGGATTTTGGGCAAATAAAGCTAAGATTTACACAGAAAATCCACAGACTTTTATGACAGACGTTTTCGTTGTAACACTTTAAAACCTTGATACTCACTTGTTTGTCCTTGTTGTACTAGCGATTATTGTTTACACAAAGTCCTAGACAACCTTTACAATAAAAGGGTATCTATTAAGTACAGAATTTTCAAGTATAAGAGTACAAGGGGAAAGGCTGGGGATTTTCTATAAAATATTCAGATGTTTAGTATTGCAACAACAAAAGGGTACATAATCCTTAATCACAAACTGAGCTTGACCTTATTTCAAAGTACTTCCTATGTTCTGCACCAGTTCCATTGATGGCTCTAGAAGATAAAACTTAATTTTTCATTCGTTTTTTTTTTGTAAACGAGGACTTTTTTTTTAACTATGTAAAGCCTGAAGGATTTTATTATTAACACGTGAGAAAAAATCGTCTAAGAAATAAATTGTTTCACGCTATGTTTACTTTGAAAATCTTGGTCTCCCCTTGTGCTCTGTTTTAAAAGGGCATCAGCTAGCCATAGAAGGACCACATCCCACACTTTTGTTTTGAAATCGTATAAAAAGTATATGTTCCGAGAAATGTACCATATCCCATAGAAGTCATTTTTTAAAAATGTTTTTGAATGTTTAAAAAAGGGGAACGTTTCTCTACCTTGAACAGCTTTTGATCACTATACGTAATGATGTCAGTAATATGTTTGTTTACGGAAGTGCGTACTTAATCTCTAAGAGGGTGCAATGACCTCCAAATGCGTTATCATATTTATTTTTTTAATAACGTCTACATATACAGTGCATCAGTATTGACTGGACCGGATTCATCCATGTGACAAATTTACGAATCTAAAGTCCCAAGTCCGTTTTGTAAACATTATGTTATAATCTTGTGAATTTCACATAGTTCATATTTGAACTGTACAAAAAAAATAATTGGTACTTTCATGATTTAATTAAATTTGAAAATTTATTTAGATGTTATTTGAATAACTTTTATATTTAAAATTCACGGGAATTTCATGTGAAAAAAATCATGTGATTTTCACATAAACTCATATGAGTTTCACATGAGATTCACGTGAAACTCCCAGGAACTGATTCCACGTGATTTTCACGTATAAGCTCGTTTGAGATGAAATTCACGTGAGATTCACATGAATTTAGATTCACGTGAAATTCATGTGAGTAAAATTTCCCTGTGCATGACCAAAAGGAGAACGGAATATATCGGACACTGATACAACAAAACTTCTGAAAACAAAAAAGATATATCTTAGCGAAAGATTTTAAAGGTAAGATACTAGTAATTTAGAAAAGATATCTTTTCCTAAAGGTCTTACAAATAATACACCAGTAATTTAGAAAAGATATATCTTATCTGTGTTTACAGATAATGTACGAGTAACTTTGAGAAGATATTTCTTACATAAAGATTTTACATATACGATGCTTGGTATTTAAAATAGACATTAAATCAGATGTAATCATTAAGTGTTCAGTGTTCATATATAATACTTGAACTTTTCGGGGAATTCTCCTCATCTTACAAATTTTCTAGTGGCAGTGTATTAGTGCAGACTTTATAAAAATAGTCCTATTAAGTATGCTATAAGTTCGGTGAAATTGGTGTGCTCCTTTAATGACTTCTTCTGACCGTAAAATTTTATCAATGTCATGCCGAGCGGAATGATAGGAAAAGAAACGTGTGACGAACGAAAGAACACATTGACAAAGAAAGAACGTTCTTCATTGTTCAACATTAGTTTATGACGTCAAATTTTCTTGCCTTTCTTTGAATTCCTATTGTGACGTCATCAAAAATGGCGACATAAAAAGAACCCACTTTTTCCAGATCATTGATAAAGAAAGATACACAGTGACTGAAGTTCCTCTACATATTGTCTGAAACAGATTCCACCTCTCCTGCAATACGATATTTCTCTACACGAGACAGTTAAATTTTTATTTCTTATCTATCTCCTTAAGGCTATGAAAGAGTTAATTGGAAACAATAGGTAAAAATGATCTCACACTGTATTTCTATATATAAAAGGTTGCGTTCCTTTTCTTCAATGAGATTCTTCCCGGAATCAATCAAAGGACTTTATATGGAATTACTCGCGGATGGCACACCTGAAATTCTAAACTTGAATATTAGTTCCTTGAAACTTTTAATAGTTGATGTGAATATTAATTCCCATCCTGTAAAAAATCCTCAACTGGATGTTAAACTATTGAAGTGGGTATGTAAAAATTTAACGCAATTTTAATTTTTTATATAAAAGACTTGATCATTAGCGAAATAGCAAAAATGACAGCATTTCTTTTTTGGTATACAGAATAATATGTCGTCCATGCACATAATTTGCATATAGATTCTTACATTGGTGCCAGTGGATTAGCGGATTTATCCAATCGAGATAGTTAAATTATCGAATTTTAAAGTCCGAGACTCGGCGAGGTCCTTAAAATTGATAATTTTATCTATCGAGATTGGATAAATCCGATAATCCACGAGTAACTATGTAAGAATATGTTTCTCTAATGTCTATCAAATAAATTTTCTTTTTTCATAAACGAAAATCCCCTTAGAGTGCCTTCCACATTCCACGAAGTTGTCAATTTCTCTAACACCTGTTAGCACATTTTGATTCCTCTAGTGAGCTGATAAAGGTTATGTCCCTTAAACTCAGCCAATCATGTTTTGAGATTATCGGCAACCACACGTTGATTTTTTTTTATACAATGGGTAAAGAAAGGGTTGAATTGCCAAAGAACTAGAGAAATAAGTATATCTGTCTTTATTCATATAGAATGCACTGTTTATTATATATTGAGATTCTGTACACATTTACCTGACGTGTAGTATTCGACAGGATCGATCGTATCTTCCATTACTGTTGATAATGGTGCTGTCAGAAAAGTTTATTGAGTGAAGTGTAGTATTCTTTATGAGTCTAAATACAAGATCATGTAATTGATTGGTCTAGCTGTCTACCATATTTGTTTTGCGTTATATATATTGTCAGAACTCAGACCGTTGGTTTCTCGTTTAAATTGTATACATTTGGTTATGACGGGGCCTTTTATTACAGTTAATTATACGGCATCGGTTTTGCTCAATGCTGAAGGTAGTTCAATTACCTTTAGGTGTTTCTTTCCACATAGTTTGGTTTCTGGTGGTGGATAGTTGTCTCGTTGGCAATCAGACCACATCTCCTTATATATGTAATGTAGATTTGTATGATTCGCATGATTGAATATTTCAAGGCTTTTTTATTATGTAAATTGTAATACTAACTGTTTTTTTTTTAATTTTAATTGTATTTATGTAGATGTTGTATGATTGCCAATGAGACAACTATCCACCAGACGGCCTAATTGCATCTTCTGTTCCACTGATCGAGATTAAAAGGGGGAATGGCGGATGCTTAACCACCTTAATGTGTTTTGTCCTGTAGGCAATTTTGTTGAATTTCTGTGTCACAATACATCTCCGTTTAGTCAAGAGGGAATGGTTTGTTTACGGAAATCGATTTAGGTTGAGGCCATGTACCCGTGAAGAATTTTATTCAACAATATACGGATGTTATTTGGTTTTCATTGTATGATACATGTAAATCTGATAACGATTTACGTAAGTGATCGTAAGTCAAGTGCACAAATTGTATAATTGTTTGTTGTTTATTTACAAGTATAAATACGATACTAAACACAATATAATTTAAGAGGGACTAGTACAACAAGGTAAATAAATAAGTAGAATATACGTAGAGATTTTGTATGATTGCCAAATGCAATCAAATTAAAAAAATCAAACGATATTACCCCAAAAAACTGTGAAAAAACTAAGGAAACACGCCGCTAAATGTACCCGATAAAGACGCATGCTAACATATTCATATTTCTGTTGCTAATTAACACCCATAGGGTCAAACAATAACAAATGAAATGCGTACGTTTAAAAAAAAAACATAAAATGAACATTTAAATAAATACACAAATGTAATGTGATATTTGCTGCACTGGGTATCACGAACCTGTCTCTCAGTGGATTGTCGTCCTCAGTTCTAAAGACTCCAATATGACAAACAAGTTCAGACTCGGAGCAAAGAAATTGAACTTCTATACTACTACTAAAGGAAGAGACCGATTTCATTGAGCCGCAACTCCTCTGAAACCATACAAAGTCTGAAATATTTGTGATATAACGTATAAATCTAGTGTTTTGTACTTCCTAATTTGTCTTTGAAACAATCTTTTTTTTCCACAGAAAACGCCATTTTTTAAGAAAGTATCCAAATTCGGAGACTGTTATCAATCCGTGTCTTATACACTTTTGCGCGTGCTCAGTCGACGTACTGCCCGCGAAATCCAAGTAAAAGTAAGAAGAAAGGATAGAAAATAGGACAGTTAGGCCTATATGGATCCTATATTGTATTGCAAGTGCACCGTTTTGCTAAATTAAACGACATCCACCCTTTTGACTCAGGTGAAGAACTGTCCAAAAATGAAATGGGCGTTGAACGTGTCGAAGTGATCCTCCCCCTTTTTTATGTGTAAACACAGGTACCCGACGTCCGGACCCCTCCCGTATCCCGTATCCCGCAACCGTTGCCATAATAGCGCATGTAAATTTCCCGCGTCCCGCCCGACTTCGTTTCCCGTTTTCACGCTAAATTATTTGACTTTCACGTGTCACGCTTAAAAAAAATCGGCCAATCCCGTGTCACGCTTAGACCCCAATGAGACCCACGTTAAAGACTGTATGATGACCACTATATATTTTGTCCCTTGTCTTAAGTTTAATAACTTGTTTTTATGTAGAAAACAAGTTTATTCACTTGAGATGGCAATGACGAGTTTAACATATCGTTTATTTTGTCATTTTCTGATAAATTAATAAAATTCAGGATATAGTTAATTATGTATTTCCGCAAAATTTGTAAGTTCTTCGTTAATTCAACAATTTAATTAAATATAGAATAAGATGTGGTATGATTGCCAATGAGAAAACTATCCAACAGTCCAAATGAGGCGGATGTATACAACAATAGGTCATCATAGTTACGGCCTACGACAATAAGCAAAACATAAACCGTATAGTCAGCTATAAAAAAGCACCAAAATCAAAAGTATTGAGAACAATGGGCCAAAAATAAAAGAAAAATAATAAAAGATTTTCGAAAAATGTTGAGCCAATAAATGAAGATTTGATAATAATTAGTAAAATTAAGAAAACAATAGAAAAGAACAGACTAAGAATTAAAGAATATTGATATTTAGTCTCATAGAATTTATTTGAGTTTCAAATTCTATGAATTTTGCTCTGAGACTACTGAATGACAAATAATAACTGATTTTTTTTACATATGTGATATATGATATGTACAACAGTTACAAGAATTTTCCGAAAATCCGGAATAATTTGCAAAATAGAAAGTAAAAAAAAAAAGAAATACCAAGAAACTAAAGTTAGAACAGACGTTTGGAAGCTAATTAAAAAACTGAAATCATTTGTACTAATCATGAAAACATTAAAGAAAGGATTCGAAGCCTTTGTGTGTGCACTTATGATTTTTTCTCTCTCTCAATAGTATCAAGTAAAAGTAAAGTATTAACAAAAATATCAAACTATAAGGTAAAAAAAATAAAAAAGGGGAAAGTCCATAAAACCCGACAAAATCAAACGCTCGACTATTTCAGCTAACGTAACGAAAATAACTGTCATATTCTGACTTGGTACATGCATGATTGATTTCCCCATCACACATCATTGGGTACGCTGGAACGGCGTTTTGCATTTGCGCCGATCTGCATTTCATTTGCGCCGATTTGTTTTCTCATTTGCGCCGATTTTTTTTTTCATTTGCGCCGATTTTTTTACAGGTAAATTACAGGTGAATGTTATTTTTCATTTATCATTATAGACCTCTTCCGTTCGCCAGTTGTACAAATGTTATGAATTGTGAATCATAACATGTATATAACTGTTGTCCTCTGCTCACCAAGGGGAGGTTGAAGTAGGATTTTGAGCAGGATAAGTCAATTTAAAAGCACTACGTTCACATACTTTAGAATCAAGAAGTAAAAACCTAAGATAAAAGCGCTCTGTTTTTACTCTGTTTATACTAAAATGACGAATTAAAAATCTATTTACAACATTAAAATCCATAACAACGGAATACATTAAAATCATAAATCTGTTCTTGCCGAGTATTTATAGGCAACACATCTAATATATTCCTTTCTTGTGATTTCGTCTCTATATTTGTCGTAATTGTCAATAACGAAGTCCATCTTTTATTTCTCTGGGTAACGTACTGATGCGGGCATTTCTAGAGTTCGCATTTTAACATACGTAACGGCTTGGATTTTCTTAACTTATACATAAGTGAACAACGTTTATAACCAGATTGTACCAATACATATTCAAGGTATAGTACATGTACAAATATTTACTCACCTGTGTTAAACTGTAAATGCAATTAGGAGCAAATATAAAATCGGCGCAAATGAAAAACTGAAATCGGCGCAAATGAAAGAATGAAAATTTAAAAAATCGGCGCAAATGTCATACGCCCCGCTGGAAATCTAAAAATTTCGAAAACCAAAATATAAGACTTGAAAGAGCATAAAACCATTATCAAATTGTTCAAAATTGAACAACCGAACCCAATGAGGATTTTCTTGATTCTTGTCATAGACAAAAAAATTACATATGTCAGTGTGTGTGCAAGAAATATCGTCGATCACGTCTCGCTTCTGTCAATTTCAATTAAGCACAAACATAAGACACGTGTTTAAGTCAAGAAGTCGTAATGAAGAATATGAAAAGAAGGGAACCGGTAATTATTACTCAATACATGTACTACGGAGCGAATACTCGAGTATTCCAGTACTCGTTAACATCCATAATTTTCACGAATGCGAAAATCATACAAGTGTCAAGGTAACTTTCATACTGTTATCTGAGACTGCAATAAACAACTAAGTGTTAACATTTAAAGGTACATGTAGCTTCAGTCACAGCAAGCGAAGCGAACAGAGTGAGCTCTTAAAGCAATTTGTATTACAATATGTAGGTGAAAATTATTGACAACTCCACAGAGAAAACAGATATCAGTTTACTTTGATGAACTTTATTAGTTATAACGTGCGAAATTTCGTATAACATATATATACAAACACTGATTTTCTGGAAATTAAGATTACCGTTAAATGTATTTTTAATAACTATCTGTCGAAACCGAAAGAAAGAATTGACCTTCAGTCTTTAAACCTTATTTTATTTCTGGCTTGGATTTTCGTTGCGGGCATAAAAAGGAAAACCCAAACACAGAAATGTCAAAATTATAATATTAGCACCTTCACAGGTAAGCAATCGAACAGGCAAAGATAAAAACAAATGGCATTTGGTATTATTCCTTAATTATGCAGGGCGCCAACCATTAACTTTAAATTACAAAACAAACTATTTTATTCGCCGTCTTACAGGAATAAGAACTATTTTCATCACATTTTATTATAAAATTTACAGCTGTTTAAAATACAAGTTAACAACAAGAGCCACTCTATAAAGAGTTATGAGAGACTAAAAAAAATTTCTTGATTTATAATACAAATACAAGTCAACTATCATGAGTAGCATGTGTCTAAAGGCAAGTTAAACGTTACTAATCTTCTATAACTATTTTAAGATTCTTCTCGGAATCAATTACATTACAAAGAATAACTCCCGGATGACACACCTGAAATTCTATACTTGAATATTAGTTCCTTGAAATTAAAAATTTATTTAAATATTCATAATTCCCATCTTGTTAAAGTTCCCACACTGGACCTTAAACTATTGAAGTAGGTATACAAAAATTATAAGAAATTGTAATTATAAAATAAATATTCAATATTTGATAATTAGCGAAATCGTAAATCTGACAGCATTTCTATTTTGTTATATCGAGCAATTAATTTAATAATCATGTGCCGCTTATGACTGATTCTATTTGTCTTCAATCAACTACATGTAGAATGGGCCGTTTATTATGTATTGAAATTATGTACGAATTTACTGTGAGTATATTGCACAGGATCGAGTTTGACAGATACGGCTGTCTACCAGGCGCAAGGTTAAATTTAGAGAATGCTGAAAGACTGCTTTTATTGCTTTTAACTTGAAATTCTGTTAATATGTTCTGTCCTGAATTGATTTTTGTTGGGTTCCTTTCTCATTAATGTGTATACATATACATGTACTATATATCTCCTTTTATTCGTGTGCCATTTTACTCTATTCTTTATTATATTTCCCATTATTTTCTTTGATTCTTTTAATCCTACAAGACCCTCAATCGTATTCTTATAGCAGAAATCTTTGTTTACAGAAATCAATGACCTGTGAAGAGTATTATTTTTAAATTGAATTGTATGTTAAGATTATGATTAACGTAAGTTAACTGCGTAAATTTTATTTCATAACCTCCGACAACATATTCTAGTGTTTACTCCCCTTGGCCGTCGATAGATGGCAGCACCGTAGCCCTTTAAAAGCTTTGTTCCAAAGATTTGGTTTCATTCTCCAACTTGGCTCGCTCGCAGCATCATCAACTATCGGACAACGCTTTGTATTCACCGTATTCTCGGTAACTTTTTATATATCAGTGGAATTTTTATATTTATATTAATTCACTTATTTATTTGCAAAATAAACTTTTGCTAATGGCTGATCGTGTTAGTATACACGCAGCTGAAAGTCTTGCAGACTTATCGGACGATAGCGTCCAAGATGGCGATCCAAGTAGTCGATCGGCCGCGTCCCCTACAAGTTCTAGTAAGAACAAGGGTAGAAAAAGAAGACGAGTTGTAAGTTCCTCAGACAGTTCGTCGGAAAGTTCGTCTGATTCAAGTAGCAGTGAATCAGACAGTGAAACTGAAAGTGATACAGACTCGTCTTCGAGAACAAAGAGAAGTGTTTGTTCCGAAACTGTATCCGCCGTCACTACATATGAACGTTTCAACCCGACTGCAAGTAGTTCAGCAGGTAAGGCGATATTGTCAAAAGAACGCTTGAAATATGCCAAAGCACAATTTTCAACCTTCGTGAAAGACGAAATTGTCGAAAAGAATATTCTGGAGCATGCTCTGATCCCCGACGATCCACACTTTCAGTGTAAACAAATAGACGAGTTTGTCTATCCTATAATGGACAAATTAAATGCCGATTTAGATCGAGGCGCTGAAAAGGGCATTCAAGGTGTCCAAAAACGTATCTTTAGAATAATGGGCCCACTCTCGCAACTATGGGAGATGTCGGATTCCATTAGAGAACATTCCAAAGAAAACCCAACAGTGGACAATGTTGACATAGCACACATGTGTCAATTAGTTGAAAAGACTGTATGTTCTGTTGGTCAGGCAAGTCTAGCTGTAGATCGGCATAGACGAGTAAACACTTTACTGAAAATAACCGAGGATTACAAAAAAGCCAAAGAACTTTTGGACAAAAACGAGGATGTAATCTCTCAAAGTGGAAATTGTCTATTTGGGGAAGGCTTCAAAAAAGTCCTCAAAAAGTCGAGTAAGACCTGGGAAGAAGCCTCAAAAATCGCCTTCAGTATTAAAAAAGGAAGAAAAAAGAAGGGTGGTTTCAAGAAAAAGAGACGAGGGGGATATCACCACATGAACTACAATTATGACCACGAATCAAGCCATGCAAGTCATGGTACAAAACACAGACATGCCAATCCAAGGAGAGAAAGAGAATCGCCCTTTCGAGATGGGCCCTTAGCACGAGGGAGAGGAGCTGGGGGCAGAGGCATGGCAAGAGGACATGGTAGTGCATACAGAGGTAGAGGATATAGAAGGTCAGTATCCTTTAGAGATAAATCCAAGTGTAACGAGAAACAGTCAAGATTCATATCACTTACTTTCAATAATCAAGACAAATGTACCAAAAGTAATCCTGGACAAAAACTTTCAAATTTCCCAAATTCAGTGCAACCTTCCCATAGCAGGAAGGTTAAGATGGTTTTTAAAAAACTGGCAAAAAATAACAGGAGATCACTTTATTCTCCAAATAGTTCAAGGTTACAAACTAGAGTTCAATACCCTACCATTACAAAGGCAACCTCCTCAATATCCGATGTTCAACAGAGAACAAAAAGATTCTCTAAATCAGGAAATTCAGAAATTGCTAGAAAAAGGAGCAATACAATCTGTTCACCAAGAACAGACCCAATTTTTAAGTTACATGTTCCTGGTTCCAAAAAAGGACGGGGGAAACCGTCCAGTGATAAACTTGAAAAAATTAAACGACTTCATAACATACGAACACTTCAAAATGGAAGGTTTATACATTGTACGGGACCTGCTAAAAAAGGGGGAATGGATGTGCAAAATAGATCTGAAAGACGCATATTTGACCACAAACATTTACGAGGAAGACAGAAAATATCTAAAATTTCTTTGGGACGACAAAATTTACCAATTTACATGCCTTCCATTCGGTCTGGCCAGTGCACCGAGAATTTATACAAAATTAATGAAACCAATTGTAGGGTTACTTCGAAAAATAGGGATTCGTCTGATTATTTACCTAGACGACATCCTACTAATGGCAGACTCAAAAGAAAAATTGATAGAGGCAAGAGATTGCACTATTTTTCTCCTCATAAATCTAGGTTTTGTTATCAATTGGGAAAAATCCAAACCAAATCCAAGCCAACAAGTCGAGTTTTTAGGCTTTCAAATAGATTCTCAAGAAATGTTATTCACACTTCCCCAAGAAAAAGTTGTCAAGATAAAACAAGAATGCCATCAAATTCTAAACCTTCAATGGGTAACTGTAAGACAATTGGCAAAAATAACAGGCAAACTAGTTTCAACAATGCAAGCTATAGTTCCAGCAAATCTACAATGCAGATACCTGCAGTTATTACAAATAAAATCGTTGGTAGATGGCAAATCTTACGAAACAAAAATACAACTTTCAAAAGGGGCCCAAGAAGAGTTGGGATGGTGGATAAACCATATCGATCAATCAAACGGTCGGGCTATCATATCGGCCACCCCAGACATGGTTATAACCACAGATGCATCAAACAAAGGTTGGGGGGCTGTTTGCGGAAATATAAGTACTGGGGGACTATGGGGTCTCCAAGAATTAGAGTATCACATAAACTTAAAAGAACTCTTAGCGGCATTATTAGGGCTAAAAGTATTCACCAAATCTGCAAAATGTTTAGCTGTTCATATGAGAGTAGACAACACTACAGCAGTAGCATATATAAACAAAATGGGGGGCACAAAATCAGGCACCTTAATACAGATGGTGAAAAAAATTTGGATGTGGTGCAAAGAAAGGGAGATTACTCTAACAGCAGAGCATCTCCCAGGCAAGTTAAATCACCTTGCAGACTGGGAATCCAGGAATACGTCAGACACATCCGATTGGATGCTGGACAGAGACATATTTTCTTAAGTAATAAAAGCCCTAGGCAATTGCGAAATAGACTTGTTTGCAAGTCGCTTAAATTATCAAGTAGAAAGGTACGTCAGTAGGCGACCAGACACAAATGCTGTGGCTACAGATGCTTTCTCTCTAATTTGGACAAATCTAAAAGGCTTCGCTTTTCCTCCATTTTGCATAATAGGGCGATGTTTGGCAAAAATACAAAAAGAAAAAGCAACAACTATTTTAATCACACCAATTTGGCAAGCTCAGCCATGGTATCCCATGCTTTTAATGATGACGATTGCAGATCCAATCCGTCTACCCAGTTTTCCTCAGATCCTTTGATCATCGACGGGTCAATTCCATCCACTGGCCCAGTCAGGGACCTTTCATCTGGCAGCTTGGAAGGTATCGGGGGACACACAATTACAGCAAATTTATCAAAAGCAGCTGCAGAATTATACTCCAAAGCCTGGAGACCTGGTACCAGAGCTTCTTACAAAAGCGCCTGGAAACGATGGTCTAGCTGGTGTAATTCTAGGCAATTTAATCCTATTCAGACATCTGTGGAAAATATAATAGAATTTTTAACAACACTATTCAATGAGCAAAAACAATATCGCACTATTAACACATATCGCTCTGCAATTTCCAGAGGTCATAACTTATTGAATAGTATTTCAGTGGGCAAGCATCCAGCAAAATCCATCATATGAGGGCGATATTCAATGTTAGAACACCTTTACCAAGATATCAATCATCTTGGGATGTTGACAAAGTTCTTAATTGTATCACAGAATGGGGTGACAATTCCTCCATGAAAATATTAGTTCAAAAGTTGACAATGTTACTTGCTTTAACATCTGCAGGGAGGGTTTCTGAAATTCATAAATTAAATTTAGATTTCATGTGTGATAAAGGTGATCACATTATTTTCCAAATACCTTCCCTCACTAAAACATGTAGGCCAGGTAAAACAAAACCAGAATTAAAGTTTTATAAATTTGAAGATAATAATCTTTGTGTCGTAGAATGTTTAAGAAAGTATTTAATACTGACTGAAAAAATCAGGGATACCAATGATAGATTAAATAGAAATTGGTTGTTATTAAGTTTTGTAAAACCTCATCATCCTGTAACCACTAGTACATTAGCTCGATGGTTAAAGTCAGTCATATCCCCAGCAGGCATTGATACAACAAATTATAAAGCTCATTCAACAAGATCAGCTTGTACATCTAAAGCTTTCAGAGCTGGTGTGTCATCATCAGAAATCATGAAACAAGCTAGATGGTCAAACCTCACAACTTTTTCAAGATTTTATTATAAAACACTGGCAGGAAGTGACTTTCAAAAAGCAGTTTTAATCAGGTAATAAATATATATTATCATGAAGCTTTAAACTAAACACTAGAATATCTTGTCGGAGGTTATGAAATAAAATTTTAGATTTCATAAGCACACGAAGTGTGCGTATTGGATCCTAATTTTATGAATAACCGAAGACAAGATATGAAAGTGTTCCCGCCCTCCCTTCCCCAAGTGTAATTTTATAGGGCGCATTATTCATAAAAATATGTATAAATATTTATAATCTTACACTGCTTGTCTTCGGTTGGATATATTTCTTATAAAATTCAATTCTATTTTCAGATAAGAAATTTCCGTTGGTGGATTTCATTATACAAAAGATCAAGATCTGGTTGCTATTTTAAAACATATTCCTGCCATTGTTTGTTGTGCCAAAAGACACTGACTGTTACATTTATTTGTCAATGTACACTGTTTTATACCTGTTCAAAATGTAAACTTATTAGTTACATGTATATAAAGTTTTGTACTTTCTTATTATAGTATTTATTTTATTTTGCATAGACAACTATGGTTATATAGTTTAGAGTAATTCAAATTTTCTTCAGCTGGTGATGCTTAAGCTCGCCAAGTTGGAGAATGAAACCAAATCTTTGGAACAAAGATTTTAAAGGGCTACGGTTCTGCAATCTATCGACGGCCAAGGGGAATAAACACTTTCATATCTTGTCTTCGGTTATTCATAAAATTAGGATTCCATTACGCACACTTCGTGTGCTTATGTAATCTAAAATTATTATTGTTTGTTGTTTATTTACACGTATATAAACAATTTGAAATGCATACATTTATTCTAATTTTATTTGAGAGCAACAAAACACACGTAAGTAAGTTAATAAGTAGAAGAATACAATCAAACTTAAAAATTCAGAAGATACTATACAAAAAGACAAATTTAAAGAAAACACAAAAACAAAGTGTATGCAAACATAATTACACTTAGGCTTATGACAATGCTAAATCAGAGATTTTAATTGTTCTTAGTGCAGCGAGTTGCTGTCACACTGTTACACTAAGGCTTAATCAGAGATTTTAATTGTTCTTAGTGCAGTGAGTTGCTGTCACACTGACGTTTTCACCAAACGTATATATTTTAGCAGTATGACAGGTGAACACTTGATATTTTATAGTGTGTCTTTCTATATTGTAATGTTATACTATTGTTTCAGGTTAGGGTGAAGGTTGGTGCCTGTTAAAACGTTTCAACCCGCCACATTTGTTTACACCTGTTCTAAGTCAAGAACCTGTTGTTCTGTGGTTGTCGTTTGTTGATGTGGTTCATAAGTGTTTCTTGTTTCTCGTCTTTTTAGATACTTGTAGATTATACCGTTTGTTTTCCTGTTTGAATTGTTTTATACTAAGTCATTTTGGGGCCCTCTATAGCTTGCTGTTCGTTGTTTTCCAAGGCTCCGTGTTATAGGCCGTATAACTGTTTACTTTTTACACATTTTGACTTGGATGGAGAGTTGTCTCATTGGCATCATACCACATCTCCTTATTTCTACGTAAACTAGTTACCACTAAAACATGTAGAAATCTTCGATTCTATGCACAAAAAATCTTACGAGAAAAAATACTCGTAATTCATGAACATTTTAGTATAACTTACTATACATTTTTGTCTTAAGATTTTTTTGTGTGAAGAGCCCCTTGTCGGTGTTTGTCTTGTGTTCAATCATTTATGTTTATCCTTCCGGAGTAAATACCCGATTTTTTCCGGTTTTCAGTGGAGTTCGTGTTGCTCATCTTGTGTTATAATACAATGTAGTGTTGAAAGGACTGTTTGTCTTAATTTTGTCTTTCCTTTGGTCATGTCATGGAGGTGCCTGTTTTTCTTCCAGCTGTGATTTTGTATTTCTGCTTTGGTATTGGTAGATTTTTGTTTATCTCAGTTAATTCAATTCTCAGCTTATTTTCTGCTCGGGATAATTAAACATTTAATTTCAATTTTGAACGTACATCCGACATTGTTGAATACTGTATGTTGTGTGTGTGTGTGTGTTTGTGTGTTTAGTTGAAGGTGTGGTGTATGTGTGTCTATATGTACACATCCACTGTTCTTAAGAAAACTTTTGTTCTGTGTGTCTATCTTTTCAAAGTTTTCTGAAATCAAATTGGTGTTGCAATTTTCCCTGAAAATCCATTTATAGTCAATTAATGGTCTCTATGCCTTACAAGTTTAGATTTCTGGCTATATATTATATTCTCAATCTCTGACTATTTTTGTACTGATGTTTTTTTATTGGTCTGTTTGAATTATTCTATAACTATTGTTTTGCCTATATTTCTTCAACCTCTTGTTGTTTTTAATTATTTATTATTTATTATTATTGGTATTCGTCCTCTTGTTTAATATCCCCATATTTTGAGAGTTCAGTCGTATCATTATAACCTCTGAACTTTGACATTGCCATTGATTAATTGGTGCACTTTCAGAAAATCTGGATTACTATGTATATAAATGTCGAAACCGAAAGCCTGAATTGACCAATAACATATATTTAATTGTTTTGTAGATAGTTGGGGTTTTCGTAGCCAGCTTTAAAAAAAAACACCAAAAAAAACAACAGAGAACTGATATACCTCTGCACAGCATCTCTACAGGTAAGCAAGCAGTCAAGATCATGCAAGCAAAGGTAAAAATTAATACAGTGTTTGTAGTATACCTACTATAAACAGTATCCTTCAATTTTGTGCAAACTCTAAAAGTTCATTTTTACATTTTTTAGTGTTTTTATACGTTGTTCTGTTGTAGTTTAATTATGTTATCTAAATTTATAATTTAAAAATGTTAAAAGAAAAACATTGGACTTGGAACTTTAAGGAGGTAAGTCAAAGGGCCACAACCAGGTGCATCCATTAAAATCGAAAAAAACCCCAACTTTTTGGGATATAGTGCATTATTTTCTATAACGATCGGATGTTGAATTTTCAATATCTACTATATTTGTCATTTCTTTATGCTGCTGTTTTCTTGACACTTTATGGTAATTTACATAATGACAGAAATAGAAACATCCAATTTATCTCTCTATTTTTCTTGTCCATAAATCTCTATTCTGTAAACCCCATCCAGACCCTCCTCGCCAAAATACCTAAATACGTAAGCGGAAGCACTTTTAAACTTTAACCAAACGGATTAAAGAACAGAACGGACGTACATTCAATGGTTCAAATATGAATGAGAATATAAAATATTTATGAAAAGCCTAGCTTCCGTGAACGATTTATAAATATTGCATTGGACACATATTTTCCAATATAATAATCTGAATTAGGTTACAGGATTTTTATTTTCCTGGAAGGGCATTTCGACGCCTTTTTTAAATCTAAACTTTGTGATGCAAGCTTTTTATAAGAGCTAAACAAAATTCCCCACATATAGTGTTGTTAAAACCTATTTAAACTGGTAAATTAAAAGTATTGAATGGGACAAAATCTGCTAGAGTTCAACAAGAGGAATACATATATTCAGGTACATGTTTTGTCTTCCTCTTCCTCTTTTTCTCATTTTATATGTTTTGTCCATTTCTTAAATTTAGAATAGTCGAGAAAGACATTGTGTCTGTGAAATTCTGAGATGCTCTCTTGTTTCCCAGGACCGGATTGGGGTAGTGGGACAGATAAAGGTCCCCCTTATATGTACACTTGGTGTATTTTCAGTGCTGTTTGGATTTTTGACTGCCTCCCCTCTTTAGGCAGAACTCAGAGCTCCTTTGAAAATCCTCGATCTGCCACAATTATGTATTCTAACAAAAGTCAAATGAATCACTTTACTTCACATTTCATCCCAACAGTTCTTCTTCTTAACTATCGACGTCTTTTATTTATGTTTAAAACGACAACGTACAAGCATTTCTATGTAGTATATTTTGGCTATCTGTACTTTTGTATTTGAATATTCTTATACACACACTAGTCATTTCGGAACCTTTTATAGCTTTCTATGCGGTATAGTCGTTACTCATTGTTGAAGACCGTACGCTGACCTATATAGTTGTTAATTTCTGTGTTATTTAGTTTCTTGTGGAGAGTTGTCCCATTGGCAATCACACCACATCTTCTTATTTTTACAGACCTTACAAAAATAAAATGGAATATATATATATATATATATATACGGAGAGATAAGTTCTATTTCTTTTATACTTGAAAATACTTTTATATATACTTGCTGTCGACAAGTAACTTGCGCTGCTACCTTTTGGTACAGGTAGGATAGAGATATTTCAATATTTGTTTTACTGCAATACTATTCATTTAAATATTCATAATAGGTTTTAGACTTATTATAGAAAGAAGGATTCTGAAATTATTTAATCCATAACAAAGTATTTATGAAATGATGACTCCCCCAGAATCTTGGCTTATCTATAAATAAACAAAAAAAGAACAAAAAGATTTGTTTTTAAATTTGTATTTAATAAAAAAAAAAATCAAATAAGCGATTAATAATAATAATAATAAACAATTAAATTACCTCTTTTTATTTTGATAATAACAAAGTCCAAGTAAACAAACAATCGACCAGTTACTGTTGTCCCTTCAGTTGTTTTTGTGTAACTAACACTTCATGACTCATCATCGCGGTATGTCTGACGTCAGAGACCTACGTATGTAATGCAACATATATAAACGTCGTCAATCTCTTTTTGTCGTCATTTTATGAATGAATTAAGTAATACATGGGGAAATTTCGAATCCTCACAGGTATTTACTATATTTACTATAGACTTGATCGTAGTGTTGAATCAGCTTTTTAAAAATTGATAACTTAATAGAAATTAATAAATAGATGGCAAAATGTATGTATCATGTAAAACACATACAGTGATATACTTCTAGTATATTATGCAATGTTAAATATCTAGAATTGAGGTCGCAAAGGTTCACTGTGATACAAGGGTTAATCGATAAAATGTTTTACTGTGACTCATTAGTTTTTTTTTATATATATATGACAGTGAGTCAGTAATTCTTGATGATTTAGATGATGATGATTTAGATGAAATGTTTTACTGTGACTCATTAGTTTTTTTTATAATGTAGTGGTGGTGTGACGCATATACTACACGGAAGTTCTCCAAAACGAAATTACAAATTCATCTACATTCAGGTCCGTACGCTCCACAGAGAGTCAAATTGTAAACAAGCATATCACTGCCACTACCCAGCTTAAGGCCTCTTCCGAACATTTGAAAGTCCCTACTATGTACTGGTTACCTAAATTGCACAAAAAACCATTTAAATTCCGTTTCATCTCCGCATCTAGTAAGTGTTCTACTACTAATCTATCAGTGCTTCTAACTACCTCCCTTACTACTTTCAAGGAACTTGTTATTAACTTTTGTAATAAAGCTTATGAAAATAATGGTATTAATTATTTTTGGAGTGTTAAAAATTCTTTAGAGGTTTTAGATAAAATACATGCTTTTGATGGTCCTTTTAATTCTGTTGACAGTTATGAGTTTTCTTCTCTCTATACTACACTTCCACACAATCTTATCAAGAAAAAGTTTTCATATTTAATTAAATGGTCTTTTGAAAAATCTCATTACAAATTTATTTGCTGTAACTCGTTTAAAGCCTTTTTCTGTAACGAACAAGGAAAGTATGCTAGATACACTTACTGGAAATGTGAAGATATGATTGAAGCTTTAAATTTTCTCCTGGACAACATATATGTACGTTTCGGCGATAGAGTGTATCGACAAGTAGTAGGTATTCCTATGGGCACTAACTGCGCCCCTTTAATAGCAGATTTATTCCTGTATTGCTATGAATCTCAGTTTATGACCAAACTCAGTAAAGACACGTCATTGTTACATTTGGTTGATACATTCAACAATACCTTCCGTTATCTAGATGATATTTTTTCGTTAAATAATCCAGAGTTCTCTAAATATACTACCGAAATTTACCCAATAGAACTTACTTTAACTAAATCTAACATAAACAGCAGTAGTTGTCCTTTTCTGGATTTGGACATTTCAATCTCTAAAGGAAAACTCCATACGAAAATTTACGACAAAAGAGACGATTTTTCATTCCCTATTGTTAATTTTCCTTTTTTAGACGGCGATGTTCCTTTGGCTCCATCATACGGTGTATATATATCCCAACTCGTTCGTTATTCCCGTGTGTGTAGTGATGTCATAGATTTTAACGAACGTAATCAATGCATCACTGGTAAATTATTAAATCAAGGATTTCGTTACCATAAATTACGTAAAACTTTTGCTAAGTTCTTTCATAGATACAAAGATTTGATTAGTAAATTTGGCTGTACTTGTAGAAAACTGATTAAAAACGGTATTTCACATCCTAAATTTTACGGTAATATTGTACTTAAAGCGCGGAAATCACTATGTGATCCATGTAAACTCATCGAACCTTTAAACAAACTTATTAGTAAAGGTTATCTTACCAATGTTGTAATTAGATCTTTGAATATAGTTTACATTGGCACTAATATCGATTTTGTCATCAGCAAATTAAAACATAACTAAATTTTGTATTTTTTTCAAGTGGGATGTATAAAGACACACCCACGTTCGTTTAGATCTATAAAGAGGTTAAACTCCTAACTATCCTACTGTCTGTCGATACATTAATTTTTGGCATTACACTAGTCATGTCTTCTTTGACTGTCCATGACGTTAAAATACTAAATCCCTGGGATGTGTTTTAGTTGATTTTAGTCTCTGATGCATGATTTTTTATTATTAACTGTTTTGGCTTTTAACTAGCTGTCAGTAACTGCGAGTACTCTCAAATCGTACTTTCTTGTTTATTTGACCTGTTGATACTAATTGTATTGCTTTTTGTTATTTAATGTTATTCAGGGTTATATCTGGTCTATATACCAGCTTTGATAAGTGTTTGGTATAACTATAAATTTTCACTTCGTACTATGAACATCAAAATTATTTATTTTGTAAAAATATTTCCTTTCTCTATTGGTACTGTACACGTATCCCTAACAACAAAACTATTTTCATTTACCTGTGTTTAAAGTTAGTGCAAATGGCTGATATTTTTGTTCGAGCATATTGTTTTTCTTTAATTGTTTAACATTTCTTACCGATATAACATGTTACTTTTATTATTCTTCCCTTAGTTTATTTATTTTGTATTTACATTGTGTCATAGGTCAAATTTATTTGTTCAGTGTATGTTCAATGGTGTTAATATGTCCTTTGATTGAGTTAAGCTATTTCAGTTGATATTTTATAGTGTGTCTTTCTATGTTGTGATGTTACACTATTGTTTCAGGAAAAAGGGTGAAGGTTTGGTACCATTAAAACGTTTAAACCCGCTGCATTTGTTTGCACCTGTCCTAAGTCAGGAATCTGATGTTCAGTAGTTGTCGTTTGTTGATGTGGTTCATAAGTGTTTCTCGTTTCTTGTTTTTTATATAGATTAGACCGTTGGTTTTCCCGTTTGAATGGTTTTACACTAGTAATTTTTTGGGGCCCTTTATAGCTTACTGTTCGGTGTGAGCCTAGGCTCCGTGTTGAAGACCGTACTGTGACCTATAATGGTTTACTTTTATAAATTTTGACTTGGATGGATAGTTGTCTCATTGGCACTCATACCACATCTTCTTATATCTATATATGACAGTGAGTCAGTAATTCTTGATGATTTAGATGATGATGATTTAGATGATAATGATTAATTATGCATATTTATTTCAGACAATTAAGATAAAGATGTATATACAAGATAACCAAACTGTAATAAGAGAAAGACAGGCAATGCTTCAGCGCTATTTTCCAACTGAGGAAATATCGCATTCAACTCCTAAACGAAGACTACAGAGATTAAACAGTTATCCGTCTAGCGAAACAGAAGTAAATAAAAACAACAATAGAAAACTTAATATGGACCTTACTGAAATAAAATCTTCATTACTTCGAATCAAACTTAAAATGAAGCATGCAACAGATCATACCGTCGATAGTACACAAAACGAATCAAATAAATCACGTGGTTTTGATATAAAATTGGAACAGAATAGTTTAAGAACTGTCACAGAAATAAAGGGAGGGCTAAATGACATCGAATCGGTTCTTGATATACAATCCAAAACCAAGGAACAACTTCAAAATAATTTACAAAAGCATATGTCATTTCCGAAATTAAAACATGAAAGCAGAAACCTAAAATCAAAAGATACGTTTGACTGGCTTCAATACTTGTTTATGTTACGTTTTGTTCCGAATCAATTTTTCCAGGCTTTACCTGTTAGTTTAAATAATTATTTTGAAAGTTTATCTTCTGGTAGTACCATGTCTATGGACGAATCTATGTCAAATCATCTTCTACGTCTGTCTTCGTACAGTAATTTTCCTCGTCATGTGAACGTTTTTGTGAGTGCATTATCGAAGGCAGGTTTCTATTACACCGGAAGTACTGATATCGTACGGTGTTATGCATGTGGCATTACTCATCAGAACTGGACGCGAGGTGATAATCCAGAAGAAATTCATTGTAGACTTTCTCCATCGTGTACTCATCTTCAAAATTCTAGAATGTTTGACGGTGCAGGTATAGCCGAAAACCAGCACGTGAATTCTAGTAATAATAGATCATCAGTACATTCTGAATCTTCCTTGAAACCAAATAAACAAAGCTTGCAAAATGGTGCTGCATCCAACGACCAAAACAAACCTTCAAGTTCGACAACTTCAGAGCCAGCCAGTCTTTTAAATCGAGGAACTAGTAATAATATCCGTAATCAATTTACAAGCAATGATTCTAAACCAACGTCTAATTCTTCTAGTGAAAGCACTAATTTTGAACATGATATGAATACCAATGGCGCTTGCTCAGAATCGACAAAAACGAATCAGAATGGAGCATGTGGATGTTCTGAATCTTCAAGTTCGAGACAATTAACTAATAACGACATTTCCTTATTGGGAATAGATCTTGAGAAGCCTCGTTATCAGAATTACGCTGCCTTACAAGTAAGAATAAGCTCCTTTCAGGGATGGCCATCGTATTTAGATCAGACACCAAGACAGATGGCGATAGCTGGTTTCCTGTTTGCTGGATACCATGACTATACAAGGTGTTTCTTCTGTGGCGGTGGACTTCGAAATTGGGAAGCTGGTGACGATCCATGGGTAGAACATGCTAGATGGTTTCCGAAGTGCACGTTTCTACGTCAGAACAAAGGAGATGCATTTATAAAAGCCGTTCAAGATAAACATGAGCAAATGGTAAGTACTTGAATCAAACAGTCGTGATATGTTATAAGTATAACCATAAGATTTAAGTCTCAATATTTTAGCGAAATACAGATTATTTTAATGTATTTGTTTCGTATTATTTAATTAAAGGACAAAAGTGACCAAATAACGTCAATACAATCGAAAGAAACAACTCAAAACGGTTCCAATTTACATTCACACAGCAATCCACAGCCAAGTAGCAGTACTAGCTATCTTGATACAGCAGCAGCAAGGAGTGTCTTAGAGATGGGATACACACAAGAACAGGTGCTTCGAGTTATTCAGCAATTGTTACCGGATAAACCAGGTATATTTCTAACCAGTAAGCCTCGCTAAACTTGTTAATTTAATTCAAAACGTTATTGTCATATGAATCATCTTATATGATT